TATTGTAAACACTCATACATTTATTCATATGCAGATAGTAAACACCCACAATTGTATTCATATGCAGATAGTAAACACCCACACATAATTTTTTTTTGACAGCATAAAATTTGTTTAGACAAGAAAAATAACAAAAATAACAATTACTGTAAGGTGCATAATATGTAGTTATTTTTGGGATATTGCAGACACAAATTTTGCAAAACAGTAATAGTTTATAGTCATGAAATTTTGTGAAAATTTTTTTGGGAACCCTATGACACGGAATGTCAGTGAATTTCGAAAAAATTCCCAAATCACAAACAGTCATAGCAGTAAAATTTTTACAGCATCCATAGATGTACATACCTTGATAAGTAAGTAGAAATAAAACAGTATCATTGCAAGTATTTGTACATACTTATTCTGGTACATACCTTGGTAAGTAAGTAGAAATAGTACAGTATCATTGCATGTATTTGTACATACTTATTCTGGTACATACCTTGGTAAGTAAGTAGAAATAGTACAGTATCATTGCATGTATTTGTACATACTTATTCTGGTACATACCTTGGCAAGTAAGTAGAAATAGTACAGTATCATTGCATGTATTTGTACATACTTATTCTGGTACATACCTTGGTAAGTAAGTAGAAATAGTACAGTATCATTGCATGTATTTGTACATACTTATTCTGGTACATACCTTGATAAGTAAGTAGAAATAAAACAGTATCATTGCATGTATTTGTACATACTTATTCTGGTACATACCTTGATAAGTAAGTAGAAATAGTACAGTATCATTGCATGCAAGTTGATCAATTAGGTTTTCTTGAAAATTATTTATTGATATGTTGAATGGTTCTCCCTGAAATGGAATAAAAAATAATGTTTTAGCTTTACATTTACATAGTACAGTATAGTATAGTATAGTATATTTTATTTGACTCAAATTAATGAATTGGAAATACATTAACCATGGTCATGGTCACACACAAAAACACAATAACAAGAAATACAGATATAAAAATACAATAAAATGTTAAAACAGATAACACTAACAACTATTAGGTATTACATTGTAAAATTATGTCTGATAAACATATACATGTATTTTACTGTGACATATGGTCTAATTTTGTATATGTCTGATAAACATGTACATGTATTTTACTGTGACATATGGTCTAATTTTGTATATGTCTGATAAACATATACATGTATTTTACTGTGACATATGGTCTAATTTTGTATATGTCTGATAAACATATACATGTATTTTACTGTGACATATGGTCTAATTTTGTATATGTCTGATAAGCATATACATGTATTTTACTGTGACATATGGTCTAATTTTGTATATGTCTGATAAACATATACATGTATTTTACTGTGACATATGGTCTAATTTTGTATATGTCTGATAAACATATACATGTATTTTACTGTGACATATGGTCTAATTTTGTATATGTCTGATAAGCATATACATGTATTTTACTGTGACATATGGTCTGAATTTTGTATATGTCTGATAAGCATATACATGTATTTTACTGTGACATATGGTCTGAATTTTGTTAAAGTTGCATAGCCACTTGTGAGAGTCTGTGAGGTACCATATTCTGACAAATATACACCACAAAATGTTTTGAATGTAGATTGTTATAAAAAACGAACAGTACAAAATGAATTTAAGTGAGTCTCTTAAGTCACAAAAAACAACATAATTTTTACACATTTTATGTTTTTAGATTGTTCTGGAAGTGAATGCAACTTTAAACACCAAGTAGCTATAGACGTTTCACTGTGACATCATTTATTGACATTTTTAACAATCAACATGTGAAGGTCTGATGACAAACGTTGCTCAATGATTAATGCCGGAGGGTTGTCACCTGCGCACACACGAGAATTGAGTCCCAAGCGATGATAACAACACACAATAAAAACGCAAGGGCTCATGGGTAGACGCTTGTTCGTGAACAATGACACGCTTTGGGCATCTGACGCATGTGCAGGTGACGACTTCCCTGCTTTAACATAGGTTCATAATCTGCTGTGATAACATTGCCCGTAAGTTGTTTTATTAGCAGGAACACAAACTAGTATATTTAATAACAACAACACACACAATACTATTTTTTTTTTATCTTCAAGTACGGATGACCAGTTATAGCCAACCAGACACTGCACACACACATCCACGCAGAGACAAGTGCAACGATATAGGCATTACATTACTTACATGGTGAGAAATATCCCCTTCTTTGTTTTTATATGTTGTGTATCCTCCATATATGAAGCCTCTAATATCCTCTAAACCTAGAAAATGTATTGGTGGATGAATTATTTTGATTATGCTCATAAAACTCTCATTTGTTTTTAAATATTTAAAACATTATTATAAATCTTTCACTGCATCTATTACAGTTTTACATGGGCTTCAAGAACTAAGTGGTTGAATCAGGGAGATGTACAATATAATAATAAGTTACACCACACATTATGCACTCAGGACTGTATGTATTTACATCGACTACCATTATGTGTCAACCAATAGTCCCACATAATACAATTGTATTTTTTAATAATCCCCATAATGGTTAGTCAACAATTAAATAGTACAAGCACTGTGACTGAAACCAGGCCAGGCGTCAACCAGGCTCGGCCGAACACAAGCACCTGCGGACCTTAACCAAAGTTCCCCTAAAGTCGCATTCGTTAGTGAATGAATCTCTCGGCCAGTGGAATTGGCCTTCCCATTGAGTCTGTGACACACTCATCCAGGGAAGGGGGTCAACCCTTTTGATGTTCAGTCTAAAGTAGGATTTGAACTTGGGTCTACCGATCATGAGTCTGATGCGACAACCACTATGCTACCAGTGACCGGTCTATGACTGAAACTTACTAGAGCTATATGTTGGTGGACATTCCGATGCATCGATGATACCAATTGTTGCCAATGAATCCACTCCAATATAATAAACATGTCCATTATTATTCAAGCTGTGAAAAAGAAAGGCAAATTGTTCCTGGTATTGTGGAAAATGAAAACATGTCTTGTGAGATTGGCTTCAATGAATACATGTCTTATGAGATTGGCTTCAATAAATACATGTCTTATGAGACTGGCTTCAATGAATACATGTCTTATGAGATTGGCTTCAATGAAAACATGTCTTGTGAGATTAGCATCAATGAAAACATGTCTTGTGAGATTGGCATCAATGAAAACATGTCTTGTGAGATTGGCTTCAATGAAAACATGTATTGTGTGATTGGTTTCAATGAAAACACGTCTTGTGAGATTGGCTTCAATGAAAACACTTCTTGTGAGATTAACGTCAATGAAAACATGTCTTGTGAGATTGGCTTCAATGAAAACATGTCTTGTGCGATTGGTTTCAATGAAAACATGTCTTGTGAGATTAGCGTCAATGGAAACGCGTCTTGTGAGATTAGTGTCAATGAAACCACGTCTTGTGAGATTGGCTTCAATGAAAACACGTCTTGTGAGATTGGCTTCAATGAAAACATGTCTTATGAGATTGGCTTCAATGAAAACACATCTTGTGAGATTAGCTTCAATGAAAACATGTCTTGTGAGATTGGCTTCAATGAAAACACATCTCGTGAGATTGGCTTCAATGAAAACACGTCTTGTGAGATTGGCTTCAATGAAAACACGTCTTGTGAGATTAGCATCAATGAAAACATGTCTTGTGAGATTAGCATCAATGAAAACATGTCTTGTGAGATTGGTTCAATGAAAGCACATCTTGTGAGATTAGCGTCAATGAAAACACGTCTTGTGAGATTGGCTTCAATGAAAACACGTCTTGTGAGATTGGCTTCAATGAAAACACATCTTGTGAGATTAGCATCAATGAAAACACGTCTTGTGAGATTGGCTTCAATGAAACCACGTCTTGTGAGATTGGCTTCAATGAAAACACATCCTGTGAGATTAGTGTCAATGAAAACACGTCTTGTGAGATTGGCTTCAGTTAATCAAAATTATGTCTAATTCATTTGTCTAAACAAATTAAGAAATTATAGAAAAGTTGAAAATATTTAAAACATTAATATAAAGCACCACTAGTTATACATCATGTAAACAATGCATTTCGTACAGGTTGTAAATACTACATGGAATGCACATTAAACAGAACATGATCTAAAGACTATGCCATATTAGAGCGTACTATTACAAGATCCTATTTCAGAAAAGAACTTGTAAAATGTGAGCAAAGTGCAATAATGACCCCAACTTCATTACTCCACTGTGCCTTTTTTGGTGATTTGGTTTTGAATCAAAAGATTTTTATTTTCAAAAAATATTATTGTGCCAATGAACAGTTTTTGCGACAAAGGTTCTGAATGTATCTGTCACTACCTATAGAAAGTCTTTATGAATAATGAATCTCATTACATAATGTTTGGTGATGTCAATCGAAAGAACAGCATACTTTCTCAGTCTACATACTAGATACCAGAATGCAAGTAGTGGCTTGAATAAATTTGTTTAGTTGTTTCATTATTGTGGACGTACACTAGAAATCTGAGTGTGATCTACCATGGGGTACAATACATATATGAAATAAAGGACCAAGAACAGAGTATTATGAAATATTGCCCAATGAAATTTCACGAACCAAAAACCAAGATAATTTACTACTTGTTTCCTTCAGGACTTGAATCAATTGATGACAGGTGTTCTTACACCATACAAACATAACTTGCTCAATAAAAACTCATGCTAAAGAATACCAAACACTTCTAAAAGATCAGAATAGTACCTTTCAGCAGCCCATTGGATCATAACAGCAATATCATCCATGTAGGAATACGTCATCTCATAGACGTGGCGATACGCTGATAACAAACTCTGAACCATAATATGCAGCGATTGGTTCTTGTCGTCCCTGATGTGGTGTGATATGGTAAATATAGTTTCTAGTAAAATCTTTGTAACGCTACCACCCTTCATACGCGATGATCCACGAATTGCTTCTGGCTGCAATTAAATAACAGTAATCTATTACTGCCTGCATAGGAAAGAGTTCCTTTTGTACACCCCCCCCCCCATAACCTCAACTCTAACCCTACCCTCCAGTTCTTCTCAATTTTATTGTAGATGCGCCCCTCCTAAGGACACCTATAGTTATCTAGAGAGGGAATATACAATTGAACTAGGGGGCTTTGGCAAGGGTTATAGTTAGGAACTTTTTCCTGGTATATATTCATAGGAAGATTTCACAATTAATCAAAAAAGTTACCTGATTTTTCATCACCTTGCCCATTCAAAACAATTTCCAACATGTTATGTATTAACTGCTAAAGTTGTACAATAATACTAACTTACCCCAACAATAGGATTCAATATAAAGCATTTATCTGAGTGTTTCTGGCAAAGATCTTCCAATCTCTTTGTTACTGAAAAGAAAAATAAACATTAACAAATCAAATTTTTGTTTTAAATCGAACATATAATTGAACCACCATCCAAATAGATTTGCAAATTAGAGATAAACATATGCATTCTTTCACAAACTTGTTCTCCCGAAAGGTCAATATTCGATCTCGCTAAAATACACAGATCTGATTGGACGTGCCTGTAAAACCACCCAAACAGAGTTAGGATTAGCATAAAGGCAATTGTGTCATAGAAATATAACAAGAACAAGAAAGCCATCGGAGATGGCAGATGGCAATAGTGATCCAAATATGATATTTATGAAGTTTTAATGAGATAACATGACCATATATAATCCTTAAATATATGCTGATCAGATCTAGTGTGTAAAGTCTTCAATAAAGCACTGGTTGAATGTCTCTATCTGCAATAGTGCTCTGGATAGGATAATTATGCATTTTTAATTGTATCAGAAATGGGACATTTATTTGGGAAAAAATAATTGTTTTCATACAAGCATCAAACTGGGCACCATTTTTATTCTACGTCAAAACAAGACTACAAAAAAACATATGTTGTTTTGCACATGGATCAAAATAGCTGCTCACGATATCACGTATTACGATAACTATATTTTCTGTACATTTTCGATGTACCGGTATTACATTTTTTCACTATGAATGTGGTAATACATGTTTTATTGTTTAATTACAAACTGCCTATGTCATGTCAGAAAGTCGTAGCATCAGTCTCGCTATCTACGAGATGAGACTTGAATGGGATCTTGGCATGATGTCACCATACAGTACTATGCACGTTGCAAACCCTAAGTAAGTACTTAATAATAGATGTACATCAACCAATTATTACCACCTCCCCCTTAGAGTTTCTAATGCTATATCCCTTACATCTCACCTTGAAGGAATGTTTTATTCCAATTCTCTATTGGTAAATCTCTAGCTAGATTAAGAGGATTAAAGCCTAGTAAAACTGGAGTGAATTTATCAAGATTATCCATGCAGTAATCCAACTGTCCAGCTACAAATGGCGCCTGAAATGAAATTGTACATCAATATTTCACAAGTAAATGAACAATGATGCATTTTCTGAGTGACAGCGCGCAGTGAAGATTTATAAATATATTTCTGCAATTATCAAAAAACTTTCATGCAAATGTAATTTCCAAATAAGAAAATCTGTAGTATTTAGTTGTATATTAAATAAAGCTGGCAATATCCATTGCCATGCAGAGAAGTTATTCTAACAGTGGGCAAATATCACCTGTGCTTGGGCACAAAAGTCCATATTCGGTCGCCAGTATAGAAAAGTTCACTTTAAGGTAGAGATGCAGGTTCGTGGGCACTAGGGAGTGAAATTTTTTTTTTATTATCCAAACAGTCATGGCTATAGACTGTTAAAATTTTGTAGAATTTTGAATAGTGGAACATACCGTACTCAAAAGAAGATTTTAAAATATAGATAACAGGTGCAAACATTCTCTCTTATGAATGCTTAGCAAGATTTAGCAAGGCTGTACAAAAATAATAAAAAAGAAACATGGTGAAAAAAGTAATGACGGGATCTCCATATTATGCACTATATTTAACTTTTCACTAAACAATAATACATTTAAGTTCGAAACTTGTTACAGCCATTTTTAATTATGAGCATTAGCAAACTTCTTACTGAGTGAACTGTTATGCAAATTAGCAATTATCTCAGCTTGTATTTAGTGCACATCTCAGAACTTTAAAAAAAAATAGCTCCTAGACGCTTTGACCTTTTACTTTGAAATTTTCACAAATGATTGACAAATCTTCAAAACGCCGTTGGGCATTGTTTTTGGTTGAACAGTGTTACAACAATCGTACAGACAACTAGCCTGGGTGTTAATTTATGCATAAACTTGAATGAGTGAAATTTGAGCTGCTACCCTGCAAAAATGACAACTGGTAGACAGTTTTCAAGATGACACTTTCTTCATAACAAACATATGTACCCTTAAACCAATTTTGACAGGAAACAGAGGCATGGTTTAGAAGCTAATTTTTTTTAAATCACTTTTGACCAAAAAAACACATTTTTGTGCATATTTCAAACTAAAGTGTCCATAAAAAAAAAAAAATACTTTTAAATTCATTTTTAAATTTTTAAATTCATACAATAAGCTTTCCGAAAATATATAGTTTTGTGGACAAGGGAGGTCATCTTGGTTTCCTAATTAACTAATTAAAATACCTGTCAGGTAAACTGCATTTCTACCTTAAATGCATTTTGTATCCAGATGAAGCAGAATGTATACTGCCAGGAGGACAAATGCAAATTGCTGAATGTAAAAACAATCCAACACTGGACACTGTGGCTGGTTGATACACTTGTTTAATTTTGCAAGGAACATTCACAGAAAACATTTTGTAGCCGTGCACAGGCATGAAGATTCCTATGACAGGGTGCCAGTTACTTCACAACTTTCTGTCCACACAAACACTTTAGTGACTAGACATAAAACTCGAACATAAAAAATGATAAACTTGCTGGTACTCACTGATAAACCACATGTAATACCAATAAACAACACTTTTCTCTTTCCCTGAGATACCTTCAAAACAAAAATGATGTTTATACATGTAGTTATCAAACAGAAAATTATATTATATCAATGCAATGTCACACACACTAAATACTGTAGAAAATTACACCATTTTATTGTCTTAGTGCTCAGTGACCCCAACCCTGACAATTTTGGTACATGGTTTTTCAAGCAACCTTGAGAAAAAATAGGCAAAGAAACAATCAATGTCTTATGGCCAGGATTCATCAGTACTACCGTAAAATCTGTATTAGAAGCCGCATCCCTAATAGAAGCCGCACCCATTCTTTTTGAACAATTGAGAACCAAAATTCACAATTTGTCATATGTGTAGATGCTCTAATAGAAGCCGCATCCCCTCGGTTGAATTGTACCATTTTAATAGAAGCCGCAGCTACTAATAGAGATTTTACAGTACTACTCATTAGAGGTGATCAGAAGGGGTGGGCATGAACGGTCGACTAGTTGAAAATGGTCAGCAAATTTTCATTGCACAAATCAATTAGAGATCTGGAAGCCACAAGTTGCACAACAGTAGATGCAAAGCAAACATGCTAACCTCTTGCTAACCACTCATTGGTCATACTGTTGTGTGTCTTGCAAACACAACATTTTTATAAATAGTCAAATTCAATCTATAGTTTGAAATATGATATTAAAAAACAAATGTTTTCATAAATACTGTATGTTGCGCTTCTAATAGAACAAGTACAGTGAAGTAAAGCTTTCAGTGTTTCATTGAAAATCAAAGTTTACATTCACTTAGTGAAAATTGCTTTTATTGTGGGAAAAACAATTTTTCGCAAATTTCGCATGTCAGCAAATATTCTTAAAATTTATCTTGGGTCTTATCAGCATCAGTGACTTTCACAAAGTTCCAATTTCACGAATGCCATCAATAAATAAAAATGAAGTGGTTTACAGTATTTACCTGTTTCAGTGCCTGTATTCCAGCTTCTGGGTCATCTTCTGGAGCTTCTTGTGATGTAAACAGTGCTTTATCTCCCCCTGCTATCACATACTCATAACATTCTTGCATGCCCTGTTCTCTCAACAGCTTATTAAATGATCTCTGTGAGAGTAATGGACAACATCAAAAGTTCAATGTAGGATAAAAAAACTCAATTCCTTTAGTCCCCCCCCCCTACTGAAACTTAATTGATAAATATTGATCATGGCGTCAGACTACATTCACCATTAAATACAAATTGATAATTCGACAGTAGTATGGCTGGTTGTAATAATGAAGGGAAATATACGCAAGCGCAAACTACTTTTCTTGGTTCTGTGCAGGCTCTAGGTCCATGCCCTGAAATTGACCTCATTTGACGCACATACCGTATTTACACTCTGACCAAACCATTTTCTCGTCTTGGATGTTTTTTTTTCATTTTCTGCTATTTTGTCCATGATTGGAAAGAAAAACAAGCAGCCTATCG